TCACAAGGAGTGGAACAAGTGGTTTTAGGATTGTACATTGTAAGAGGAGACAATGTGTAAGTCCAGCTTTTATTCTAGTAACATAACTGAAGCTGTAGTAGAAAATCAAGTATCTAGCTCTCAGGGATTGATGATCTATTTGAAAATTAGATACAAGTTTTTTAATGTGTTACTTCTAATGCATTCTCTCAGACTGAGTTGTATTATAAGAATGTTATGGTTGCTGTTCTGGTAATATAGGAATTGAAACTATGTACAAAAAACTTGTTTCTCCCCACATTCATGCCTCCAGTGTTTGTGGGGCTCTTCCTGTCCCAGGTGTTTTCAACATTTCTGTATTACTGACACTGCAGTTACACCTCTTATACAACAACAGATGTTGAGCATCAGTCTCTTGACTAGGGGGATGTTTGTTCCTGGACAGTCCCCTCAAACTCTCTTCAATGCAGACAGTCTGGTGTTCTCCTTCAAAAGACTTAATCCAACAGAGTTTATTTCCTCCCATTAAGTCATACTAAAAGTTCAATAGATAACCGATGCAGTGTTTTCTATACGTCTTTTTCCCCGATAGGTAGAATTGCTTGTTCTGACAAGAGTAATTTTATGTAAAATGGGAAGTTAATCCAGACTGTATTAATAGAATTTTAAATTTTTTCATATCTGATGCAAATGCAGTCTGTACTTCTGAACTGAATTCTTTTCATCAAAAGGTATGAAGTTTGTGATATAAAACTGATACACAATATTTTAATTTTCATAGGTCCTATAGTATTCTAATTTATACTAAAGCCAAAGAAATCACTTGAAATAGAAAACATTTTGTACTATTGTATCGTTTATTTCAAAGTGGAACATGCTTTTCACCAATAGCACGTTAATTCCTTTTACAGTGCTGTAATTGGAGAAATAGACGAAGAGACAGACTCTTCTCTTGACTTGGGGAACATTCGAGCAGAACCTTTGAACTCAGTTGTACATTGAAGAAAATAAAGATGAACATATACATCAGGATGTCATAGATCTCCGGTTGTACAGAACTATTTATAGGCTGGCATGGCTACTTTTTACAAGTTGTATGTAATAAGCTGCATAATTTGTACTTTTTATTTTGACAGTTTTAGTTTGATATGTAAATTAAATTGTGCATCTTACTAAAAACAATACTTGATGTTTTTAAGTATCCAGGGTACATATTAAAGAACACTTGCTTTTAAAGTTATTTGTACACTCTTATTCCTTAAATTATATTTCACCTATTTCACCTTTTCGTAGCAGCATACAAAGCAGTTTGTATTTGAAATTTTTGTAGCAACTTAAATAACACATAGTAGCTTTATCCTAAGCCCACTTACTCAGAATTAAGTCTAGAGATATTATTGGAGGACATGTGCATAGGACTAATTTTACTGCCTTTCAAAATTAGTTAATTCTACAGAAAAATAATTTATGTTGTAATACCACAAAACAAATGTATTACAAAGCCAAGACAAAAATATTAAGACTAGGCAGTGCATCTGAATTCTCATTGTTGATCATGGGATCACTGGAGAGAAGTAGCAGCTTTAGCAGGCCAACTAAAATAATAAAATATGGCAAGATAAATAAAATCACTTCAAAAGGAGAGAAAAGTTCCCTGCTCAGATGCATACTTAGAAAGAAACCTGTCCCTGCAACTCAGCTTAAGCGTGTGAACAATCTTGTGATGTTTCTGTTGAGGGGACTGCTTAGGAGGGAAAAAAATTCCCCAAGTACCTAAGATAACTGAAAAGAATCAAGATGAAAGAGGCCCTAACATGCTCAGCCTTGGTTAAGTCAGGCTGAGTTGGGAACCTAAAAGGAGACCTGTTAGACCACCAGTATTCTGTTTCACACTTCTGGATGTGGAGGTTCCCTTTAGTTAGTATAGCTAGTAACGATGAATTTATCCTCTGTAAATACCTGTAATCCTCTTTTAAAGGTATCTAAGATAGTGGCCATCACTAAGTCCACTAGCAGAGAATCCCATATTCAATAATTACTCATTGAGTAAACTAGTACTTTGGTCCATCCTGCATCTCTTTCATCAAGTTCATTGTATACCCCTGAGCTCTATAGTTCTGGGGAGAAAAAAGCTCTCTCCACTTTTTCTACGCTCTGCATAATTTATAAATCTCTATCATTTCTACCTGTCATCTTTTTTTTTTCTAAAGTGAAAAACCTTTTCCCACAGGAAAGATGTTCCAGCCCCGTTAATCACCTTTCTTGGCAGCCCTCTGCTGCACTTCCCCCCTTTTGCCTACAAGGACTCTTCTCAGAACAGTCTTTAATAGTGGGAAGCTGGGGCCTGGATTTACCACTGGCCCTGTTTGCAGCCCCACGAGAAGAGTGGGGGGAGGGCAATGGTGGCCGTGACAGCTGTTGCCAGCGGGGCAGGGACCGGGCCACAACAAGTGTGCGAAGCCGCATTCCGCCCCACTGCCAGGCCTACCCCTTGGGCCAGAGATGGTTAGGGGGTGGGAATAGCGAATAGGGCCATTTAAGGCACCGTCCCGGGTTGCCCTCTTTGCTGCTCAGGTGTTGCTTTCTCTCCCCATCATTTACAAGGCCACCTATCAACGTGGGAAAGCCAAGCAGCAATATGTGGAGACAGGAATTACTTCTTACGCCCAACCCCACTATCAGGCCACAATACATGGGGACCTCCAGCCAAGTGGGTTCCCTTGGGCCACAAAACATCATTGGGGGTGGGCAGGAACCTCACTGGGAGTTGCTTGGTCACTGTGTCACCAGAACACCCCCCCCCCTTCCCTCATGGGAATGCAGAGCAGGCCTCTTACCGCTGAAGACTCCGTTCAGCCTGAGGGGATCGACAGGTAGTGAAGGGATGTAGTAGACCCTCCTGGGAGCTCTGAGCAGGCCCCTAACCATGGAGGCCTCCATCCACCTTTGGGAGATCAATGGGGGGGGTAGAGGGCCATACAAGACCCCCCCCAACCCCCTTGCCCCTGGGAGTGCTGAGCAGGACCTTTGCCCCGACATGATCCCACGGCGACACAGGCAGCCATACGATCCAGGCCATGACGGGGGTATGTGCTGTGATATGGCAACCGCAGCTCCCACTGAGGCCCCCCCCCAACCCGTCATCCCAGATGTGGCAATCCAAGGCAAGGATCCCCTCCCCACACTCCAGGCTGGAGATAACCAGGCAGTGGTGAGGGTAGTGAATAAGCAGACATCATGCTCAGTACAGTTCATGCGCCTCATGTGCTAACTGGTCCTAGTCTACCTCTCCACTTATATAACGTTTTCTGCTCACCATGTAGCAGGTGTCAACAGCATCGCAACTGTCTTGTCTCTCCTCCAGGAGGAGAGGTTCTGCAGCCTGGTGCTGGAGGCCAACCTTTACCTGGATCCATTTCCCAAAGAGCTCAGGGGACTTGGGAATCCACCGTAATGGAAGCCATATTCACTCAGTTGCTCCATCCACCTTACACTCGTACGCAGCAACTGCCTCAGCCTTTTTGGCCTTTTGGGGTGTCCAGATGCTTGGCTGGTCCAGCTACATCACCCACTTGTGGGAACACAGCCTCGTGCCCAGACTCATACAAGGGCACATGCCTGGCATGTCTTTCTTTTGCAGGGCACTTGGGTTTTCTGACCCACGCAACACCTTCCAAGCTAGTATCGGTTGCTCACCAGTTACTAGGCTCACTTTAAGGTACTGGTTATCACATACAAAGCCCTTCGTGGCCTTTGTCTATCATACCTGCAAGACTGTCTCTCCCTCCATGCTCCACCATGGCAGCTTTGCTCTTCTGAGCAGTGCTCTCTATGGGTGCCACGCTGTAAATGGGCAAAATCAACAACTGCCGTGTACACATACATTCTCTGATGTGGGCCCCGCCTTATGGAATGGCCTGTCTGATGAGGTCAGGAAGGCTCCCACCCTCCTGGATTTCTGCAAGTTATGCAAAGCTAAATTATTCAACAGAGCTTTTTGTGCAGGACATAGAGCTGCACTGTACCAACGTGATTCAAAAAGAAGCTTCGGGTACAGGTAGGGACTGTAGTCTATACTACTGTGTATCGTGTGTATAGTTTGTTGGTGTAAGGCTGCTTTTGTTTAATGTGTCATGTTAATACTTATGCTGTACTTCAGGGCCCCCCAACCTTTTTGAGCCTTCAGGCACCTTTGAAATTCTGACACAGCGTGGTGGGCTCAGCCACAAAATGGCTGCAGCTAGAGGCAGAGCTAGCCACAGAATGGCTGCAGCAGCTTACTTTCAGTCAAACAGTGAAGATCCTTGTACTGGTAGCTACTGCCAATACAACTTTTTTTTTTTTTGCATTTTGTGTGTGCATGTGGGCCAATGTCTGGAAGTTATGGACATGGAGGACATTCAGAGAAGTGACTTGATAGCCTGGCCTCCGCCTCCCGACCTTGGAATTCTTTGGAGGTCTCCCATCTAAATACTAAGCTTCCGAGATCTGACGAGATAGGCTTGCCTGGGCTATCTAGGGCAGGGCCCAATACAACATTAAAAAAAATCTGCACAGCCAATCAGAAACCTTGCAGGACAAAAGCCTGACCTGGCCCCACCTACTTTCTAAAAACACTTGGCAGGTGCCAGAAAACATGTTGGTGGGTGCCACGGCACCCATGGGCACCACATTCAGGACTCCTGCTGTACTTCATCTTTGGTCTGTTGATTGTATAGATTTCTTCTATGTAATATGCCTTGAGTCCCAGTAAGAAAGGCAGATTATAAATAATGTAAATAAAGAAATAAAATGCACATAACTGTGTAATTATAACAAGTTTTACATATATATTCAGGCAATATAAAGTTACATAAAACTATCTACCAGTTTACAACTGATTTAAATCATGTAATTTTTCTTCAACACATCTAGATACTGCTGTGTTGCCTTTGAAACTTGATCTTGTTCCATGTTTAAGTTTTTTGAAGATCCATCAATTGATCCCACAGGGGTGACTCTAACAGATCCAGCATCAAGTTCAGCAGTGGCTGAAAAGCAAAAGAAAAGCTAATGCTTTCAAGGGGCTTCACAGAAAACACTGATATGACATCCCTGGCAACAGTACAATGTAAGAAGAACAGTTCTGAAAATAATTAATTTATTGGAACAAACATGGAAAATACTTTTGCTAGGACAGAACAAAAGCCAGATACTTGAGAATCATTGAGTGATTTTGCAAAAGTTCCACTTACCCTACATATCTTACTCCAGTTACAATTTTCAATATATAGTAGTCACAGACCATATATTGGACACTCAAAAGATTGCCTTACTTAATAGCATGTAGAAAAAGGTAGCACAACTACCAAATACAGTGCATTATCACAAACCTTTGGTAAGTAAGTGGCAGTAATTCAGCATACATGTACCCTATGTAGCAATACTGATTGCATATGAGGAAATGTGCAGTTTTTCATGCCTCTCTCTCAAGAAGAAGAGAAGAGATTGGATTTATACCCCACCCTTCACTTGGAGTCTCAGAGCGGCTTACAAACTCCCTTCCCCTCCCCACAACAGATACCCTGTGAGGTGGGTGGGGCTGAGAGAACTCTGACACAAACTGCTCTTTTTCAAGGACAGCTGTGCCAGAGCTTGTGACTGACCCAAAGTCACATCAGCAGGTGCAAGTGGAGGAGTGGGGAATCAAACCCGGTGCTCCCAGATTAGAGTCCGCGCACTTAACCACTACACCAAACTGGCTCTGTTGATCTGAATGATCTGAATGAATGATCTGTTGAAACACCTTGGGACAAAATACATTTGATGCCAGCTATCTGACTACAAAGCTGAATAGGTACTTTGCTTTAAATCAGTTTTATAAAATAATTTAGAGAAAATGCATACAGTGAAGAGTGACATTTCAATGGGGAAGTACATTTTCTGGGAATTATAAGACAGTACAGTGAGCTGATACTTATATTTGCAGAAAAGCACTGAATACTTTTAGGAAGAGATTTAAAATTTCTAGTACACAGTTTACTAACATACCTTGATCTAGTTCTCTGGTGATATTTTTTTCTAGTTCCACCTGCATCTGAAATTACATTTGGGTCATAGTTAACATTTTATATCTATAAAATATAAGATGGTAATGTACATCAATAACAAAATATGAACACATCAAGCCACATGTTGGGTCAAGTATTTTACCTCAGTTTTCAATACCAGCTTTCACACCTCCCCTTTAATAATTTTTTACTTAACTGCAACCAACTTGATAACGAAAGGGAGACGTGGCTTGCATGATAGTATCTGAGAACCACCTCCCCATTGTACATATTCAACATAAAAAATTAAGGTTGATTTTGAAGGCTGGAACTTAACTATTAAGTATTCAAGTTGGAGATGCTGAGGAGAAGGTAAGTGACTAAGGACTTAAAACATCTTTAAATTGCTAGGGACATTCTTTCATCACATGCACATTGTTCGGAATGGTGTTTTGAGAAACTGGTAATTTTAGTTGCTTTGAAAATCAATTACTTTGGATAGGACTGGCACAGAAAATTGAATTATTGGCTTCTTAAATAGATAAAATTACAAGGGACCTATTGAAACCCTGACAAGCTTTATGAAGGGTCTCTGTGATCTCTTACAGTCCAATGATACACATGCTTACTCAGTAGTTATACTGTGTTCAATGGAACTTACTCTCAAGTACATGTACACAAGACTAACTTTAGTTTGAAAGACAGTTTGACTTGCCACCCTCCCTGGCTGCTCAACAGCATCCATTATATCAGTTTAATTCTCAGTGGCTCTGCTGACTGTGAGGCAGTGCTTGCAAAACTTTCTAAAAAAGATTTCTAATGGAGAGGAAAGATCAGAAGACTAAGGTATAAAAATTACAGCTACAATTCTTGTTAACCTTCAAAACAGAAGTTTGCTTCTGCTGTTTTCATTGGCGTAACTCTTAGGGTTGGATCCTGTGGATCCATTTTGCTAATGGTAGTGGTGCTTTCCTCTGGTACAAGGAGCCTTGCTCTGAGGCAAGAGTCTCTGGTCAAGCATTTAGCCTGCAAAGTAATGCAGAATTATAAATTGAAATGTCACAGTAGTCATATTTGCCAAGCACGAAGAGTAACACCATTAAGCATTGCCAAAGACTACACACCTTGTCAAGTATGTGGTTGCAGAGAAGAGAAAGAAGAAACAGACTTTTGATCAAGGAGCTGAAGAAGTAAAGAACAAGTGATAAATGTATAGTTCTTGAAGACAGAAATGAAAATGACCAGTTTAAGAATATGAATTTATCTATAATATGAAAAAATGCAGACGTACTCTAGGGATGCAATTGTGTGTATTCACTTAGGAAGAAATCCCATTGAGTAAACAAGCACGGCATTTGGCCTTAGACTAAAAAAAGAGTGAAATAAGCAGAGGTGGAGTTAATAAAGAGCACCACCAACTTTTAACAGAAGCAAAACATGGCAGCTCTAAATGGAAAACTGGTAGTTCCCACAGTGATGGAATAAGTAGCTAAGCTCTGGATAATTGACTGCAAAATTAACAGCTGTGAAACTGGAGGGTAGGAGGAAGATCAGCTCAGACTTCAAAGAACCTGGTTACAATTTATTAACCACTGCAAACAGCCAGACAACATTGATTTAAACAAATATAGGTGTAATTTTGTATTAATTTTCGTGTAATTTTGTATGTTTTAATGGTTAACTGACTTGACCTGTAGTTATTACACTGGAAACAACTGGGTATATTGTTAAAATTTATTAAAATTAATAACATTAATAAATAGAGGATTAAAATGAAGAAATAACAGAAGACAGACTACATAACCTGCAGTGTACAGATTAAGTAACATGTTATTGTAGGTTGCCATTGATTCCACCATGGCATACAGTACATACCTGTATAATCTTCAGGATAAAGTTATAACAGTGATATAAATTAACTGATCAATACATTTCCAGTTGTGTACAGATTCAGCCTTGGTTACAATATCAGGTAACTACTTAGACAAAGTATATTTATTATATCCAAGTCTGCCATAAAATTCTGTAAATGGATGGGAAGGTGCGTAACTGTACCTTGAAGAATCTGAGGTTATGAATCCATTTAATGAAAAATACGTTAAAATGTTCCTTTGATTTTAACCAAGATGTATGCAAGGAAACATTCATGCCTATGTTTTTGTATTTCAGAATCCCTATTATACAACACCTAAGAATTTAAAATCCTGCAGCAGGAGTAGATTTCAACCATCATCAAATTATTCTAGCTATGATACTGTCTGTAACCAATTGGGGTAAATGTTGTTATCTGTTATTTCATTTTAACTAGTGTTTTATTTATTTAATTAAAACATTTATTAGCCACCTTTCTTCCTTATGGAGCTCACAGTATAAATAAATATACAAAATATAGTACACCAAAACAAAACATTAAAATAATAGTTTAGGACTACTTTGATCAAATGCAATCCTAAATTAAATTGCTTTTAAGTGCCTCCTAAAGGCCAAAAGTGAGGGAGCAAGGCTCACCACCCTGGGGAGGTTGTTTCATAATTGTTGGGTTGCCACAGAAAAGGCCTTCCCTCGTGTGCCCATCAGATGAGCTTCTTTGATTGGTGAGACAGCAGGGCCTTTCCCTGTGATCTTCATTCCCAGGCAGGAATGTATGGGAGAAGATGGTCCTTGAGATATTCTGGTCCCAAACCATATAGGACTTTAAAGGTCAAAACCAACTTCTTGACCAGGGCTCAGGAATGCATTGGTAGCCAGTGTAATTGCTGTAATATCAGGGTCACATCCTCCCAAAACCTGGCCCCAACCACCAGACTAGCCACAGTAGTTAACAACAGTTGTAAGAATATTTCCTTTATTCCCTTTTATATTTCTCCAGCTATTTGGTTTGCTTTTTAAAGTTCTTTATATTCTGGTGATGATGTTATACATGTGGAATATGAAAATATGATTTAAGACTGAAGAGCTTGAGTTTTGGCCTGTTAAGACCACTGCATATTTAATAAAGAATAGGAAATCAGGAAAGGAACCAGGTACAGATGGAGTTCCAATAGAGCTACTACTATCAAATCCAAAATGGTGTGCTGAGATATTTGCTTCATTATTCTCTATGATATAACTCAGGGTGTATCCTCCCAATCTGGAAGAAAGCTCTGATAGTTCCTATTTTTAAGAATAAACAGAATAGACAGGATCCACAGAATTATCATCCAGTTACCCTTCTTTGTCACTGGAAAATTATATGAAGCCTATTTTAGTTTAAAATTGAAAGAATAAGATTCAGATATCTTGAGGGCAGAACAAGGCGGGTTTTGTCAAGGACATTCTGAGGTTGACTACTGTCTGTTTTTATCTCACTTGATAGAAAAGTAAACTTCTTTAATAATCATTTATATGTAGCCATTATGGATTTGTGCTTGGCCTTTCATAGTATTTCTAGAACTAGACTGTAGCAGAAACGGAAGACGACTACAATTAGTAGGCTTTTGTTATGGTTACAGATTAGATTATCTCACGGTACTTTAATTAAAATTAGATGCAGTTTGGAAGGACAGACCATGGACTCTATTCCTAACTTTCAAGATGCTCAACAAAGGTTCTCTTTTATCTCACTATTTATTTAACTTATAAATTATATTGTCAAAGCTGTCTCCGGATCCATTAATCACGCACACATTCTTAACCAACAAGATCTTAACCGACAAGTCTGTCCACAAGTAACATGAGATGAGCCCGCCTCGGCAGGGAGGGTGGGATAGAAATCAAATAAATAATAACATTAACAATAACAATAATAATGCTGTATAGTGATAATATACTATTGTAGTTAATGTTTTTTAAATTAACTCAGTACCCTAATCTACTGATAATCCTATGACTATGATGATTCCTAAGCCTACTTTACATTAACAGGATAAAGAGTGCCTTCAAAATGAACATTGGGCTGTGCCTTTAAAACGAACATTGGGCTGTACAATAAGCAAGATGTGTTACATGCTCATGGATTCCATGATTCTTTTCTCCTTCCTCAGTTTAACTCCTCTCTTAGTGTTAAAAGATTTAAAGGAGCTAAAAAAATGTCAAGGACTTAAGGCATGTTTGTTGAAATGAAGCAGGCATTCCTGTGAACATGACCCAAGAGGACAGGGTAGAAGAAAAAACAGATTAGAATGACATTAGCCATTACTGACCTTTGCCAAGTAAGCCTCCACTCTATTTTTTGAGGATAATGCATTTCCAGATGGGTTCATGAATCCTCCTCCAAGGCTAAGAGTTCTATTTAATGCTAGATTACTGCTAAGATTTCCAAACGGAACTGTTTCCAAGACTGGACTTGCTGAAAGGCTTCCACTTACAAAGCTGCTGGCAAGTAAAGACTTGTTTCTCTGACGTTCATGAAGCAGCTTGGCACTGGCTTCTGATAATTTCTCATTAGTTCTGTAAGAAGTTCAGCAGAAGACGAATGGTTAATGGACCATCTTTAAAGGATGCACATTTTGTACTCAGAACACTCTGTGTATATGTAAAAATAAATTCCTGTTTGTCTGAAGACCAGAAGCTGTGACACCACCGCTGCCACCCCATGAACCTTCAGATGGAGCTTCCATCACAGCCCTCTCTCTCTGTTTTGTTTGCCAGCCCACCGGCCTCTTCCCAGACACTGTATTTAATCCAGCACTTTGGGTAAAACACTGCCCCCTGCAGTATAATATAATGATAAAAAGAATTTCTATGCTGTTAGAAAGACAGCAGATTCTCTCAGAGCTCTAGAGGGACACATTAGGCATTTGTGAGAAAAGTCTAACGCTGCAGTTAGCTATACCATTCTTCACTATGTAAAGGTAAAGGTTTCCCTTGCTCGAAACCTAGTCGAATCCGACTCTAGGGGGTGGTGCTCATCTCCATTTCCAAGCCAAAGAGCCCGCGCTGTCCGAAGACGTTTCTGTGGTCATGTGGCCGGCATGACTAAACACCAAGGCGCACAGAACGCTGTTACCTTCCTACTGAAGCGGTACCTATTTATCTACTTGCAATTTCTTGCTTTCGAACTGCTAGGTTAGCAGGAGCTGAGGCCAGAGATGGGAGCTCACTCTGTCACGCGGCACTCGGGTCTCGAACTGCCAAACTACAGACCTTCCAGTCTGCAGCTCAGCATCTTAACCTCTGAGCCACCACAGCCCCTTCTTCATTGTGTACTTTGTACCAAAGAAGATTCCCTGATCTGATTCACAGTAAAGGAAGCATAAAAGAATGTCTCAAGACAACAACTGTAATGTTTTCACACACAAGACGTCTGACTTACCGATCCAGTTTGCTTCCCAAAGCCTTTCTAATTTTCAGCTCTTCTAAATACAGCCCTTTGTATCTTTCCAGTTCTGTATGTGTAGACTCTCTATGAAAGATATTGTCTTGCTGACTGTTTTTTAGTCTGGCCAGCTCAGATTCTAGATCACCAATTCTGTGTTCCAGTTGATTTTTCAGGGAAGCATTATTAGTAGCTCTTATTTGTTCCAAAGTTTCTTGTGAGGCTGCCTGTGTCTAGGACATATAATACTACATTATTAGCTAAAAGAAAAACAGTATTCACCCCTTTCAACCTAAGAGACACAAAGTAGGACTACAAAGATTAGACAGAGGCACCTGTCCCACAGTAAATTCCCTCTCCCATTCCATGCTTCTAATTCACCACTACTCTTCCTGTAGTTCTTCAACTAGAGCATTTGTGTTTCAGCAGGCATGGGGAAGACGTCTTGTTCTGCTGATAGAAATGCCCTCCATTAGAAGGGATTCACTGTGGGATCCAAGCCAGAATATTAACTGGGTGGCATCAGTAAAATATAAAAGATTATCTGGACTATAGAGTTATAAGAAACTAGCAGTAAAGCCCGTTGTGGAAATAAATACAACGGGATCTAGAAAGAGGCTCTGGGGGAGTGCTCTGGCTTTGGGCAAACAGTGTCATTTTGCTGTGGTGACCTCAGCAGGGTATAATGACAGAGTCCACTGTTTTCTCCAGAGGAACTGATCTCTGCTCCCTGTAGTTGTAATTTTGAGTGATCTGTAGCCCTCACCTGGAGATTGGCAACAATTGTTACCCAGGATGAAATGGCTGGTTTGGAGGGTGGAGTCTATGGCATTGTACCTGTCTGAGGTCCCACCCCTCCTCAAACCTCACCCTCTTCAGGCTCCATCCCTCAAATCTCCAGGAATTTCCCATCGGGAGTTGGCAACCCTATCAGGATTGGCCCCAATATGTTTTCTCCCAAAGG